CATCTATTCATTCATAGCCGTTCGGTCATTCATATTTCATTTTCATTCATTCTTTCACTCATTCCATCATTATTTCATTCATTTATTCATTTATCTATTCATTCATTCATCCATTCCATCATAATTCCTGTTCCATACCAACACATTTTTACAAGAGTAGTACCTAATAAAAAATAAATAAAAACTCAGGTCTCAAATTATCTTAACCCACCGAGTCTAATATACTATTATAAATATGATCCATAAAACGATCCTTGGCATTCAACTTTTTGTAACAGACAGAGAAACAATAATAAGGGCAATGGTTCAACAATCTTCAAGTAGTTCTTTCCTCCATTCTATAACCATGAACTTATTAGTAACAATAACAGCACCTTTGTATAGTTGAATTTAATGTCAGGGCTGTGATTACCTTGTGAGAAGAGTTTCGTACTTTTTTATATAGACTTATTCACACAGCCTCAAATGAAGTGGATATTATTATGAAATATCAAATCAAAACATGTTTTAATTTGTTTTGAATAAAGTAGCAGTAAAACTTGGTAACTTGTATAGCATAGCCTGTATACATTTAACGGGGGAGACTAGACAGGGCGGATTCACGATTTTGTTTTTGTTACGAGGTAGGTCTTACGTACTAAAATTGTCAAGTGGTTTGAATTAACACTAGGCTTACCTCAGCCTCACGAAATATAGTTCTTCCAGTGGCGTAGCTACGGGTCGTACAGCCAGTGCAAACCACTCGGGCCCAGGGCTATTAGGGGCCCATTCATAAATAGACCTAAAAATAGTAATTTAAAATAATTTCCAACTTATTTTTGAATAGAAAACGGCCAGTGGGCCCCTCAATAATATTCAGTTTTTGGAGGAGTAATTATTGATTACTGTATTGATTTTAATTAAGTAGCGTATTTAAGAGGGCCCAGCCGGTCAGACCCCCCCCCCTTTTTTTTTTTTTAAATTATACAAAATGGGGGAAAAGGGAATTATATTTAATATATTATCGATCTGAGAATGACATTTCCGGCCATCTAGAGGCGCTATAATCAAAAATCTTCTTACCTCAGCTTAACCATGGTGGAGAATTGGTCATCATTAACTGTGGAAATCCCTCCCTGGTCCCTTTATTTCGATTTACCTGATCCGCCACTGCAATTGTTTAATTTTACGTGCCATCAATTTTCCTGATTAGTTTAGAACAGCTGCTGAGACCGAATATGCCCCTCTTAAAACAGTTACGAATCCGATTATACTAGTATTTATTACTAACCTAGGCCTTAAGGAGTAGGGGGTGAAAGAAACAATTCTTACGATGAATTTTCTGAGAACTTCAGGGAATTCTCCTATCACATCAAAGGGCCCAGCAAGTAATCTTTCACTGGAGCCCTTTCGTATCTAACTACGCCGCTGGGTTGTTCGATGATAGGAGTGTCTGTTAGTGTTAAACTAATATTTTCAGAGTTCTTTAAGTTATACAATTATAGTCATAAAAGCCTGTTTAGCACAACCACACTCCCTCCCGTGCTAGTAAATCCCTCTGGGAGAGAAGCGTACGCTTGTATTGTGAAACTGTGGTCTTCACTCGGATGTGTTATTTCGGTTGATAATATGAATATTAATACATCGTAAAAGTTTCTACCAACTTTTTTTGTCACAAAAAATTATCAGCGCCCTCTATCCTAATCAGGTTTACAAGTATGAATAAATATACCTTTTTTTCTACTTTTTGTTATTAATGGTAAAGCGCATAGGCCCTACTATTCAATCGTTGTTTTAAATCTAACTTTTTAAAACTTAAAGAAAAATAGAGAAAAAAGGAAAATTATTTTTAAATTTTAAGTCTGAGGGTGTCATTTCCGGTCATCTAGATGTGGCATAATCACTGAGGTGTACAGATTCAAAACCTGTGAAAGTCCCTCCTTGTTCCCCCTGTATTTCGAATTTCTGGATCCGCCACTGAATGTTAAGGCATATAGTAGTAATAATAATAATAATAATAATAATAATAATAATAATAATAATAATAATAATAATAATAATAATAATAATTAATAATTAATGATAATAAAGACGATTAAAAAATATTACTCCTTGTATCACTTGACCCCTTTGCGACGTTATACAATGGACAATCTCCTGATTTAACTCGAACTATTTTTTTCAGCAAGTACAGGGTCAATCTGTGATTAGCTATTTCCTATCAACGATGCCGATATCCGCAGAAACCTACACACGTCACTATAGCAGATATGAATCACAAATTTGATACGAGCACTTTCTCACTGGATTAGCCAAGGCCCTTGGCGTGTATTCACCGCGTGCCTGCGTATTTCTCGTGACCTAGGAAGTAAAAGTGCTTTAGCTCCGCCCACTTGCTCCTTTTAAGAAGATTTGCGGGAGTAAAAGTTGATTCAGTTGCTAGTTGTTCGCCCTAAAGTTTTTATTTCGTCAACTCCATTCGGTCTTGATCATGAAGACTATCTTAGCACTTTTTGCTTTGATCGCCGTTGCAGCGGCAAACTGCCCACCACTGTGGACATCAGGCGGAGCATCATGTTACAGATATTTTAGGGCGCCAGCCACTTTTGACCAAGCCCAAAATTTGTGTATGGACTACGGTAACTGCAATGGTGATATGGCTCAAGTTGTTGAAATCGAATCAAGAAGGGAAGAGCAGTTTCTAAACAAATACCTCAACATGTTTGTGCCCGAGCCTCCAACACTTCCAGTCTGGCTTAACCTTAGGCTTCAACAAAATTCCCAAGGACAGACCATGTGGATGTGGGGCAGTGGAACCGAACTTGGGGCCCCTGGTGCATCTGTAACCTTGATCACTGGATACTCAAATTTCGGGACCTCAAATCTGCCCTCAAGTGGTAAGTTAGCAAACTATATATATAATTCAATCTTGAAAATTTGTTAAAATAAAAATACATTATAATGTTTGAAATTGTTATTCATTGTAGGTCCATGTGTTAGAACCCGACCAAGCGCATTAGGATTCCTTTGGACTCAGTCTAGCTGCACAGCAGCTTTTGGTTATGTATGTGAAATGCCAAGTGGCGCAAGAAGACCACTAGTAGCACCAGGAGGACCAACAGCAGTAAAAGTACCACAACAAACCTTTGGACGACTCACAGCAGCCGACACTGCTGTCACGGGCAGGAGGAACAGCGGCGGCTCTAGAAAATCAAAATTGTAAATTAATTTAGCAATTAAAGAAAAACAGTTAAGTCGGTAGTATGGACACAACAGCAAAAATTACACTTTAAAAAATAGAAGTGAAAAGAAAATTCCACATTGATGCACTTCTCCAGAAAAGGATAATCAAAAGGGAGAGGAAGAAAAGAGACGAAATGCTCATTCGTTCCCCTTACTACGATGGGCCACGTGAACAAGGTGTCTTGCCAACGAGCTAACGCGGGGACGGGGCTCGATTATCAACGGTGCTAATTTTTTTAAATCGTTATATCGATGTCGTTACAAATGTTTTCTAAATCACATATAGAATTTTTGATTAAAATGAAAATTCATATCTAAGTATGATTGTTGCAAAGTTTTTTATGTTTCGTCTGTAGTAATTGAGGTGTTGATGTGCGTTTAGTGTTGAGTGACAGTATTTATATAGGCCTATTCACTGACAGACGTTGCTGAAATTGAAGGAAACAAAACAACTGAATCCTGGCCGACAAATGGAAACATCAGCGGTGTGTTGCGTCACCCGAAATGCAGCCAACAAGAAAAGACAAAGTAGCGGCAACACCTGTAACACACACACACACTCAATATAAATGTACACATATAATTAATACAATTTCAACAATAACGAACCTTCTTTTTTAAGAACAAAAACACTTACAATCGTTAATTATAAGATATACACTAATTATCATTATATATTATTATATATATATTTTTTTTTTTTTGTTTCACAAGAAAAACATACATGTACATGATAATTATGTAAGTAATACCATGTTAACAAACCGTCAATGAATTAATATTATTGCTTAAATGGTACGGTAATATAAGAAATAAACAGATTCATATTTGATTTTTTATTGTTTTTTGATAGAAGCAATCTGATGCTTTTAATGCAATAAAAAAAAAGATATTGACAATGGTAATGATAACGATGCTGATAATGGTTATGATAATGTATTAATAATAATAATAATTATTATTATTATAATGATAATAATAATATTTATTATTAATTATGGTACTGAAAATAATAACATTAGTAATATGACCCAATGATGTGTGTTATTCTAACAATAATTGCCAAATGAATAAAATATAACAATTATAACAGTAATAAGATTAATAAAAATAAATAATGAACACAAAATTGATTATTATTATTATTATTATTATTACAGTATTATCATCATCATTTATTATTATTATTTTCGTTATTCAATATCTTTAGTACTGCTATTGATATTGTAAATATGTAATATTTTCACGGTTACAACATTTTTATTTCTTTATTTCCAATATCCCAACAGGATTCCCTACAATGAGTTTTTGGAAAATACTGCTAACGTTTGGAAATCTATTTTCACAAAGAATTGATAATAGTTTTAACGGATATACTAAAATATAACTACTGTCTCTTATACACATCTTTGTTAATAATTAAATTCACACACAACTTCATATTGCTTTTTTTGTTAAGTCTTTTTACGTAAAATCACTTCATCCCTTTGATTATAGCATATTTACATTCAAACATATGATATAATTATTATGATCGAGAAATGGAATAGCTAGAATCTAACACTGAACTAAACCCTAAACCTAACTCGGAGCTATACCCAGACCAACACAGCACAATTTGTAAATACAGTATTCCGTTGACACGCTTAGTCATATAATAAGGTCACTTCAACAGCATTTTCAAATCACAGATGTATTTAGATGTGAATACGCATAGGCCTCTGTAACATTTTTATATATTTTTTTAAAGAATGGTTTGAGTATGTTTATCATGCAATCTGCCTAAGTGTAAGCGGTTAGCGCAGCGAATGTAGCACGGACCCGAAACCTTGAGATCGGAATCTCAAAAACTTTTATTTATTTATTTATTTATTATTTATTTTTTTTTTGCCGTGCGTTTCGCTTGTGTTAGGGGTGGCACCAGTGGTGGTGCCGGCGGACAGGAAGAAAAACCACAATTCGTCGGGGAGGAAAAAAAAATTATAGTGTATTTTCTACATATTAGCAGACACTAAAATCGATGACCATCCGGTCGTCGGGAAAATCCTGTTTCCTCCTGGCTTGTGTTGATGTACAATGCGCTTTATCTATGTTTTTCTCTCGCCACACCCAGGGGTAGGCCTTTAATTGAATAGTCCTATCGGTAAATGCTGAAACGGTGAACAGACTCGTCGTACGGGAATGTGGAAACCAAACCCCCAACAAAGTATTATACAGCTGGGACCAAAAGCCAAATAAAGATAGATGCGTGCTCCGGCCATCAGCTTATAATTATTATAATCATTATTATTATTATTATTATTATTATTATTATTATTATTATTATTATTATTATTATTATTATTATTATTATTATTATTATTATTATTTATATTATTATTATTATTATTATTTTATTATCATTATTATTATTATTATTATTATTATTACAGTATTATCATCATCATTTATTATTATTATTTTCGTTATTCAATATCTTTAGTACTGCTATTGATATTGTAAATATGTAATATTTTCACGGTTACAACATTTTTATTTCTTTATTTCCAATATCCCAACAGGATTCCCTACAATGAGTTTTTGGAAAATACTGCTAACGTTTGGAAATCTATTTTCACAAAGAATTGATAATAGTTTTAACGGATATACTAAAATATAACTATGGAGACCTATGGTCTATCAATAACTTTTAATGGATCGAACAGATAATCGAACCTTGACTTGATCAACTTAGAAGTGTGCTAATAAGCATCCCGGTATCTGTTCACATGTGCAAAATCTGTCAGGCAGAAAATTCATAAACTTCTATTGAGACAAATAAACCTTGAGAACTTTCCTTAGTATGACACACGCGATTGATGGGCTACGGTACAAGAGGTCACGTTTCCGGTGACGTCATGCGTGTGAGAGAAACTTTTCGCTGATGGCTTGTGGCTCAGTCCTAATATAACTAACTGCATCGCGAAGTAAAGTTTTTAGCACACCCGAACTGTTCTCGTTGGGTCTCACTGCAATCAAGATGAAGGTTATAATTGCATTATTTAGCCTGATTGTGGCAGCTTCGGCAGGGTGCCCTCCATTCTGGGTACAGTACCGAGGACAATGCTATAGGTATTTCAACGAACCATTAACACATTTAGGAGCCACGAATTTTTGTATGAAGTTTGGATCCTGCGACGGTCAAATAGGTAGACTTCTTAGCGTTGAGAACGCTCGAACAGATAATTTCATTCACCTTCTACTGAGCGACTTCGTGATTGAACCCCCGACGTTCCCAACATGGCTCGGTCTTACAAGTGACCCGAATAATCCTGATGTTTGGACATGGGCTTCAGGAGCTCCCCTGCTGTACACAAATTGGGGAAATAATCAGCCCGGCGGTAACGGTAAGTTTTTTTTTATACCCCTACGCTCGCATTTCGAATACATTACATTGTTTTTATCATCATTTTATGGTTATTTGTGCATTGTTGTTATTATTTATATATAGAGCCATGTGCAAGGACACTTCCAAACGAGATGGGACACACGTGGCGAGAGGTTGCGTGCGATCGCGAACTACGATTCATCTGTGAGATGTCGGCTGCTGAACCAGGACTGCAGTAAAGATGCAAATGGATGCAACTCAATAACCAAAATCACAGACCCTGCACAGACATCACCGGTTGACCAAGGTTCTTACCTAGCACTCAACAATAGAATACCAAACCTGACTTGTTAAAATCGGTGCGTTTTTCGAGATGGCGGTTTCCGTATATAAGTCTAAACCAGACGATGGATAGAAGTGTTGAATTTCGGGCTGCTTATTGGATTCAATTTGGTTTGATAGACGGATTTCAGTAGCATAAGAAACAGAATTCCAAGACTCGTCTTCGAGGACTTTAAAATAAACAACGGGTCTTTTTACATTCAGATCTCGTTATGTTATATTTTTAAAAAGTTTATAAATGAACGTTTGTAGGTGAAAAATAAAAAACAAGAAAAACATGTGGTTGTATTTTTCAGTTATTGATATTGATTGATTTACTGACTGATTGACTGACTAATTGCTTGATTGAATTATGATTCATTCATCAATATATTGATAGATTGGCTGATTGATTGATTGGCTGATTGATTGATTGATTGATTGATTGATAGATTGGCTGATTGATTGATTTGCTGATTGATTGATTGATTGATTGATTGATTGATTGATTGATAGATTGGCTGATTGATTGATTTGCTGATTGATTGATTGATTGATTGGCTGATTGATTAATTCACTGATTGATTTGAGTCATAGATCAAACGATTGCTCGATAATGGATTAATTGACGGCAGTTGATGTTGATTAATAATCGGTCTATTGATTATTGATATTAATATTATAAATATTGATATATTGATTGATCAATTGATTGATTGGTTGATTGATAATTGATTGATTGATTGCTTGCTTGATTGAGAAACTGAATGATTGGTTGATTGTTAGATTCATGTTGATATTGAGATCGTTGTTATTATTGTTTATTGATTGATTGAGTGGCTGAATGATTGATTAATTGATTGGCTCATTGAATTATTGATTGTTAGATTGATGTTGATATTGAGATGGATATTATTGATTTATTGGTTGATTGAATGTTATTGATGTTGGTAAATCATTATTTCTACAAAGTCGCCTGTATAAATAACAGTTTTGTCACATTCAATAATCAAACTATTTCCAGAAGCTGTTCAATCAGATCTGAATATACCTTTCCGGAGTGTCAATCAAACTTAACAACTGACCAATCAGAACAGCGCTAGGAATACGCGCGCGTCTTACAAACACACGTGTTGTCCCACAAACGCACGTGTTCGCGTATGTTTTAACACTGCTGACTTGTGGGACCTTAGCAACAAAATCCAAGGGGCGGAGCTTAGCGGAAAGGTCCATTCTGATTCGATACAATATCGATATCCAACTAATCATAGTCGTTCCTATGCATAAGTATTGTAAAATGATAAATGAATAGAATAATAAAAATAAAAATATACAAGTAACGAAAACGAAAACAAAGATATAATGATGCGGAGAAGCAGATGAAAAAAAAACCCATGAATGTTATTATACTAATGACGGTAATGATGATAATAATGATGATAGGATGTGGATTTTGACAAGGCCAAGATAAAAATACGAGAAGAAACGATAATTTTCAGATAAGGGCACAGAAGAAGCGTCACTATACACAATTACAAATAAAAGGAAGGAGAGTGGGCAAATGTGAGACTGATTGAAAGCAGAAATAGATCATGACGTCACGAAGATAGCTTTGTAGCCAGCTAATAATGAATCCGACGAAATGTTACTAGCTAGAAAATTTTTTTTTTCAAAAATTCAACATTAATAAAATATTGTTTTATTTTCAACTTCTATCGGGTTAACAAGCTTCTTCTTCCTTTATTTGTGTAGTTCAAGGTAGGCCTCCAAACCATTTCACATAAAAAAAAGTCGAATAATCTTTTAGGATGACCAGATTTCTTTTATTAGTTAATCATAAACACTTTTTAATTTTTCTTGTATTACTAAATATAGTCAGGTTCACATATGTGTTATCAGATTTGTTGTTTTTTTTAATAGTAAATAATGGACCATAATGGTACAGTATTATATACAATTTTATTCTTTTTCTATTTGGTTCTATTGCAACAAATTAATATTCTATCTTCTTTGTTTATTTTTACATTTTCACCAATCAATTATGAGCTGATATATGAAACCGTGCAAATTGTAGGATGTTGGATGATTTGAAAATATTAAATTACATTATATAAAAACTTCATTCATTATTATAACTCTAGTGTGAGTCACTTACTAGGTCAGTTGCCAGGATTGTTTTAAAATACACTCACTGTTAAGTTTGCCAAACCATACGAATATACATATATTTATAATCATGAGTCATTATGTGCTTTTATGTCGATTTAGTCTTCCCCCCACAACACTGCTAAACAGCTACATGAGAGCTTTTCCCATATATCTGTCGACATTCATCGCAATTTTGTAAGCCTGCCGTTTGTCACCGTGAATACACACACACACACACTTTTATTATTATCTATCTGCTTCTATCTGTTTTTCTGCATGCAATAGGCCCAGAACTTCCAATGAATTTACCCTATGATTAATGGTAACTGGTTTTTTGGGGGTTTTTTTGTTTTTGTTTTTTTATACCAAAAAAATGAAGATGCAAAAAAAAAAATGTATATATACATCTAACATTATTTTAAGAACCAAGCTTACATTATTGCATCAAACGTTTAGCCAAACAAACCAAAAAAAAAATCATTTTATTGATCTGATGATTCCCAATTCAGGGGCGGATTTAGAGGGGGGCTTAACAGGCTTTAGCCCCCCTAAAATTTCATAGCCATTTCTTTTTAACTGCCTTTTGAAGGTCCAAATTAAAATATTGTTTAATGTTTTCTTTACACACATCATATTTATGGGCTAAACATTTTACAGTAGTTGTTTTTCAGTGATAAAATAAAAATGAAATACGTTTTTTAACCGATCAGCGGACAAAAAACGTAGCTAAGAAA